ATCTGGACGGGGCCTCGACAGCGGCAGTGCCCCCAGATCGTTCCGGCAGCGCAGGCCGAAGGTCGAGATGCGTCGGCAGCGTCTCTTCACACGTCTGGCTGCGGACAGGCGGACACGCAGGCGCCGCGGTGTGGGCTGGTGCGGGAGGAGTCGGCAGCGGCCATGGCCAAGCTGAAAGCGGAGCTCGAGAGCAGCCGCGCTGTCGTCGGGAAGAGCCAGGCCGCGGCGCACGAAGCCCATAGCGCGCTGTCGGCAGCAAAGCGAGAGCTGGCGGCGTCGAGGGCGGAGGTTCTGAGGCTGAAGAAGGGGGCGACTGGAGGAGCGAGCAGGGGAGACCAGGGCGCTGGAGCCCCCGCGGAGTCCGAGCCAGCCGGCCAGCGTCGGCCCTCCTCTCAGCTGGCAGGCAGCCGTGCGAGCTCGCCCGGTGGCCGCGGCTGCAGCGGCAGCAGCGGCAGCAGCGGCAGCAGCGGCAGCAGCGGCTGGCCGAGCAGATCTCCGACCGCCGCCGTGGCGACGGACAAGACACAGAAGCTGTTCAAGGCGGTGATTGCGGAGGACCTCGGCCAGATTGAGCGGCTGCTGCAGCAGGGCGCGTCCCTCGAGGAGAGGAACCTCGCCGGGTTGAATGCGCACGACCTTGCTAAGGAGCGGAATAAGCGCCGCGTGCTCGCGTGGCTGCGGTCCCGCGCGCCGCCCGCAAGTTAGCTAGTGCAGGCGCACAACGTTCACTTTTGTTCACACCTCTTTACGTTCGGACCAGTTTGCCACAGTGGTCGTGAGGGTACCGTACGTATGCTTAGCTCCGGAACTTGGTCTTTCCGCGCGAGGGGCGAGGCGCGAGCGGGCGCCGCCGGCGCCGCCGCAGGGCACTTTCATCTTTCGTCGCACATGCACACGATGTCCACTATCCACACAGGGCAGCGCCTCTTGGCGGTGCTACGCGGCAGCCGGCTTGTGCTCACTTCTTCGCCGCCTCGATCGCTGCCACCTTGGCGGCAAGCTCTTTGTCCTATAGCGCAGTCCAGGACGATATTGATCTCTCGGCATGTTGGGGGGGGCGAGCATTGAGGCCCACAGCAAGAGCCGCGCCTTGATGGCCCAGCGCACGGAGAGCAAGTAGCTGCGGCAGCACATGCGAGAATTGCTTGGGTCAGATACGTGTGCGGCGAAGGAGGCTTGTGCTATTCGTAAGGACTGGCTCACTTGACGCTGAGGACAGCCACCAACCACGTGATTGGTGGGTTCTTAATGGAGAACTTCGGGATTGGCTCCTCGGCCGCCTTGGTACACATGCCACGACCTGCCAGCCGGTAACCTCGCGCTAGCATGGCGGGTGCGACGGCGGGCCCAGCCAGGCTGCCGCTGAGGGACGGCCGACCTGGTTCAGCTGGGCCATCAGGGCGGCCGCCAGCGGCCGCAGGACCGCGCTGGTGCCGAAAGGGGCTGGAAGATTCGCCAGCGCCTCTTCGGCGCTTAAGAGATAATGGCCGCGAAAAGGCTGGCCGAGGCTGCGGCCCTCGTGCTAATCCTGCGCCTTGTCTACAAGCGTCTGCAAGACTCGGAGGCACGTCGAGTTCAAAGGTTCCACAAGCGCTTTGGGCCGCCAAAGCACGGCTGCTTCGTTGTCACTGGAGCATCAAGCGGCATCGGGCTTGCATTGGCTACCGAGCTGTCGCAGACTTACGGCTACGATATCATCGTCATTGCACGGCGCGAGCCTCTCCTCTCAAGGCTGGCCAGCGAGCTCCCCACAAACGTCATTCCGCTGGCATGCGATTTGCAGACGGCATTTCGTGACGAGGCTGGCGTGCTGGATTTCCGCAAGCGCCTGGAAGGTGCGCTGCCAGCCGGCAAGGCGCTCGCGGGCTGCCTGCACATGGCAGGGAACTCGGATCTGGCGGTGCACGGTCTCACCGACAAGACTGCCGCGCGCAACCTGGAGATGCTGGACCTAAATTGCAGGGCGACTCTCGGTGTGCTTCAAGCTGTTGTGCCGCTCCTTGCGCATCACGTCATGAGGACAGATTACCGGGCGGTGGCTGTCACGCCGGGTGCGCTCACTGCTTTTGTGCCTTCAGCACCCACCTTTGCAACCTCCGCTGCGAATAAAAATTACATTCGAGCGCTCACCCTCTCCCTTCGCTACGAGTACGAGTCCGACGGAATAGACTTTGTGTGCGCGTGTCCGGTTGCGGTGCGGTCGGAAATCCTGGACAACGCCGACGGCGGCAGCGGCATCGAGAGGCTTGTCTACATTCCTACGGGCTTGGAGTGGGCTCAGGGCGTCCTCGCTGACTTGTCGTTGGGGCTCCCCGAAACCAATGGCCGCTATATGGACTACATGACCGCTTGGATGACGTTTGGCTGGGGGTGGACGACGCGATACTTCTTCCAGGGTCGGGTGCAGTCAAACTCGGTGCTGCTCAATCGTCCGGTCCGCCTAGAGCCGCTGCGCGAAAAGCTCGCGGGAGTTTATCGACAGGCTACCCCACGCCCAGAAGATTAGCAATAGGCCATGGGCGTTGAATTCTTTAGAAGGAGTAAGAAGCACATAAACTGAGAACGTGTCCCTAATCCCATCTGACCTCGGTGCCGCCCCTATCCTCCTCTTCCCAAAAACTTCCCCGGACCCGCATCCTTTCTACACCCTCCCGCAATTGCAACACCGAGCGATCCTTGGCATCGTCGTTGCAGTATTGCCGAGGCCGGTGGTGGCTGGTGGCGACAGGGCGGCTGCAGCCCTGTGTAATCTGTGTCGAGCACCGCTGGGCGCGAGTATCACCGAGAGGCCGGTGCCGTACCAGGCATGTCCATGTGCACGCTGGCCGGGGTCAGACGGCACGATCGCTCCCCGCAGCGAAACGCGGGCCAACTTTTGAGCTTTTGATCGACGGCGATGGAAACGTAAAAATAATTCGCACATTTATCATTTTCATCGGGCGTTATTCATTAGGCAAGGTTCGCTCCAAGGCAGCTACTCTGTACACAGGCGTCCACCTCTTGGTAGCCGAGATACGTCGAGCGGGCGCGAAGGCCATCAACACGGATCGACGAGCGGCCACGCACCCTCGGCAGGCATCCGCCCTGAATGGATGTGTTTTCCCACCTGGCCCGCGCTGCCATGCAGAACTGTGCGACCGACATGGGCAAGTGATGGCTCCCGCTTCTCCTACTGGGATGAGACTGGGCGGCAGGCACCGACACTCCCCGCGCAGCACAGCTTTTGGCCCGCGCTTCGCAAGGAAGCCGCGTGATGTCAATGCCAGCGAGTTGCGGCTCCCACAACGTCAGCTCGCGCAGTGTCTGCGGCCAGCGCAGGCAAATGTCCTCGAAGCGAAGCACAAAGACATCATCGCCGAAGCGGTCGATAAGGGAGCGCCACACTGAGGAAAAGTGGGCCCAGATCTCGTGGGCGCTGCGCCCGAAGACGCCCCCCCTGTAGGTGCTTTCCACAGTCCCTTTTGAGCAAGCGCTGCGCACAAGCAACAAGAAGCGAACCTTGCCTCCTGCCGCAAATGCGGCATGGAGCTCGCTGGCACGTAGAATTTCGGGTGGCGAGCACTCAACGAGGAGAGGCTTGCTCAGATTCCACCTAGAATGGTAGAAGGCGCGAACGTCCTTCCATGGGATGGATGCTGAGCTGTCCCAAGTGCCTCGGGGCGTCCCGCCCCGGTGCTTGAGCCGAGCCTTGAGGCCCATCTGGCTCCATCCCTCCTTGGCCTGCGCCAAGAGGCCCGGATCCGCGATTGTGGACACTCTGTCGCTTGTGCCCAGGAGGAAGTGCACTGCACTGGTTCCTGTCGACGGAAAGCCGAGGAGGAAGAGGTATCGGGTTGGCCAGGATCTGGTGTTGGTGGTGAACCCCGCACGAGGACGAGCCGTGTTCAGCCATCTTGCTGGTGGCAGGCGCTCCTCGCTGATTGAACATGGGCATGCATGTGCCATTGATGCCCCAGCTGCGTGAGCGGGACGCTCAAGTCTGGTGCGCCGCCGGCCGGAGGGAGGTGTGCGACAATACGGTGGCGGGTTTCTTCACCAGACGTTTCAGACCTCGAGAAGAAATTCACAAGCCCTTCTCAGCTCCCCGGCCCTGGATGTGAGGTTAATGACTGCACTCCAAGTGCTCCAAGTGCGCCCTCGCACACTGGGCAGAATTCCACAACATAACTCAATTGGGCAGCACCACACAGCAAAACTACGAGCATGGTAACGGGGGCTCGTTACGGGCCCGTACACTACGAGCAGGTGACGGGGCTCGTTACGGGCCCGTCCACGGCATGCTCGTAGTTTTGCTGTGTGGCGCTCCAATAAAGCGTGGT